TCGGTTCATGTTCGGCTCGTTCGTTAAGAAACGAACACGAGCTTATTTCAAACAAACTAAATTTTAAACGAACCAAACACGAACACAAGCTCTGTTCGTTCGTGTTCGGTTCGTTTACACCCCTACTGGGCGGGTGCTCTTGTATCCTAGGCGAGATTCACTATATCACGAGTGTCGTCAGACACTAGGAGAGCACCAACTAACCCCATGCAAGCATTTTTTGCTCCAGTGTGAATTGATTCCAAGTATCTGGTCTAAATTAAGTTCCTCACTTCTTTTGCATCTTCTAGAGGTATACTAACAAGAAAAAAATTTTAAAAATAATAATTATGTAAATAGTAGAAATATATTTTTACCATTTGATTTTAAGTAATTATGAATACTGCCTCCCATATATTTCTTCAAATATAACAATTTGAGTTGTAAGCATGGAATTCCATTGCGCCTATAAATAATCATATTCAGGGAATCCTTCTCCTTGCTTATGATGCATCGATTCCCTTCTTGCAAGCCACGTTTTCTCCATTGAAAATGGCCAGGTCATTGTGTTTCAATCTATTGGAGATGGATAACATGCTCCTTATTGTGAATGTACATCGAATACTTGGAATCAATAAATACAAGAGAACTCACCTGAGGCCAGATGACACTTGCTTGGAGCCAGATGACACTCACCTAAGGGTTGATGGCGCTTATATAGGGACAAAAGGCACTCGAGTGGGAAATAAATAACTTACCGGGTGGGAAATAAATAACTTACCGGGATACAAGAGCATACACCTAGAACCTTAAAGAAATTCCCTAGCTTACAAAGCCACTCACCCATATCCAAGGAACCACCAAAGTCTACATAGTCAAAGGTCGTCTCCATATGCCTTGAATATCAAACTTGAGGTCCACATATCAAAATTTTGTAAAAAAAATGATCATTTTTTACTCATTTATGGCTTTCCATGTAATCACCAAAATCTTATAAATACAGGGTTAAAGAGGATAAGATGGAACAGCTATCATATTTTGTCTCTTTATAAAGTAAATGGAATATTTGGAACTACTCTCACTATAATTTTTCACTTTTTTTCAACTTTACTCTTCCTCCTTTTTGCATTGCCAGCCCAACGTCAAAATATCTACTAATAAGGTTCAGTTGCCACACACGAACAGATTTAAATCTAACACTGATAAAAAAGCAAGCAATCCAGGACAACAAATAGCACTCACAGCTGAAGACACAAGAAGCTGAATAGAAATATGGCACAAAACATAGAAAAGGGAATGGTAAAATAGAGCAGCCACAATAATCAAGACATTCCAAATCAAAATGACTCGATGCAACAAAGAATCCATAGGTGTTAAACTAGTAAATCGGACAAGAGCTGAATCAAATCTTAGCATCAGTAAACAACAAAAAAAAAGCAATAAAAGTACTAGAGAATAAATCACGTCCTCATAGGGACCAACATCATAAGCATGTACTTTCAAATTAACACTAGAAAACACAGGATAAGACTATCAAAATGATAAAATAATCAGAATTTTATGCTATCTTAATGCTCCATCTTGACAAGAGTAAATTTTCATGAACCTAATACTTCTCGAACAACAAATTATTTAAAAACAAATTTCATGTTTTCTTCATACATAGAATTTCAAAAGTGTTCATTGTTGCATAGAGTGCGATACCTACAAACAAGATTGAAATAGAAAAAACCAGCCATGGTAAACGTAGAAGAGACACAGTGGGACTTTGCTCCTTCCCTCCAGCACCAACTCCTACAATAAGAAAAGCTGATGTCAATGGAAACTTAGAACTACAATCAGATTGAAGGACAATAAAACGATCATAATAGTACAGTGAATATGACAGTCTGACTAATAAGAAAAATATTCTTTGGCAAATAGGATACAAAAGACAGGATGTCAATTTACTTCACTAAGTTCAATGAAAAATGTCTATAACACCATTTTTATATCAACAACATTATCTAAATTTTTCTGCATTAAAATTACTGTTTTGATGTTTTACAATTATTAAGTTTTTGATTACTATGTTTTTTTAGAAAATTTTGGAAGTAGTACTAAGAAAGCTGCAACTAGGTTGTCCACTAAACCAAACATGAATATAGAAACAAAACTTATATTACCTATTGTGCCAATGCCAGCCAACACAATGCCAATCCAATCAAGTGAATTCATGACCTCTTTGAGATAAAAATGGGAGAAGACAGCTAGTATAGCAAGGCCACAGCCAGAGACTGGCTGTATAATAGAAACCTGTAGCAATATCATCAATGTAAACAATTAAATATAGCTAAATCCTCTACCTTCTGCACATTCTACAACTGTACAACGCAGAAGAAAATCATAATATTCACAAGATAAGTTTATAGCAAAACCAGTGAAAAAGTAAGAGCGCTATTAAACGAAGTTCTGAAAATTGCAGCAAACAGCACTAAGCTTATTTATGGCATGGACCCATATGGAGATTCATAGTATAATTTTAGGGCTCCGCCATAATTTCTTCTTAGTACAGGACTATTTATTGATCATCAATGTGCAGGGCCTTATGCATTTATTTGACAGGAGACCTCTAAACTGTGAAGGGATTCCTCATCTTTGTTCTTTGCAGATAATTTCCATCCTTGATGATGTGAAGGGATTCCTAGGAATGATATAAACAAACACATCGTTTAAAGCAATTTTTTCACTAAATTTTATTCAATGCCTTTCTTCCGAAGCTGGAAGTGAATGAATTTGTGAATGAGTATAGCACTTCATTAAATCTAAAAATAGGTTTCCAACCAAGAATAGTTCTCGGTGTAGTGTAGTCCCCCAAACCATTTCTTTAAGCCCTCAATCAGATATCAGCAGCATGACTAAGGGCTCTCTATTTCCAAGTCCTATGCCTCTTGTTTAGAATAGGTAAGAACTAAGTTTTTACTCCCTCATATTCAATCAGAAAAAGCTTGGAACCAACTCAATACTCGAAGAAGGTAACCTAAATTTTGTTTTTAAAATTATAGCCCAACATTTCCCGAAAGTTATTAAAGTCATATTTATAAAATTCTGGACTTCATTTCAATTAAGTTGATATGTAAATGTTTGAGTAAAATGTCAAAATAGTCTCCGAATAATTACATGGGGCCATTTTAGTCCTAGAGATTATAGAAGTGTCAAAATATTCCCCAAACACTTCAAATTGGAGTTCAAATAGTCCCCATGGAGAACTAGTAGAGCTCAATTTTAAAATAGTCGGGGACTATTTAGGCACCTCTATAAACTCTGGGACTAAAAGGGCTCCACGTAAATAATCGAGGATTATGTTGGCAATTTACTAGCAAAGTTTAATATAAATTATAAGTAAAATATGTTAAAAAATTATTTTCTAAATTAACTGAAGTTATTTTAATTACACTATTCATTATTTAAATATATTGTTCAGAGAAAGTAATCCTGTAGCTAATCCACCAAACAATCATTAAATTTATTTTTTTAAGGTGGGGATTAATTCAAGTGGTTTTGATGATATATAGAAATATAAATAATTGAAACCCTACTCATTCCTCATTTTTTTCGTGATCTGCGACCTTAGGCAAATCAAAGGGAAAAGGCAGAAGGCGTGAGAGCTAGCAATGAAAAGAGAGCTATTGCTCTTGGACTGAGAGGGGAGAAGCTGAGGCTTTTAGGAGGATTTTAAGAGTGTTGATGTAAGGAAATGAAGATATATGAGTTTATGTATGAAGGTTCTTTTAGAAGAAAAAATACTAGTTCTTTTATTTCATACGAGATGTTTACAAGATAAATAGTAAAGGAATATCACCAAATTAAGAAAGCAACAAAATTTTTATGCTAGAAAATAAGACACTACCAACAATAGAAAATTCAAAAATAGAAAATATTAAAAATAAAAAAAAATATTTTCTCTCCTAAAAAAGTGACACCACCCTCAAGTTGAAGCATAGATATCTATCATGCCCAACTTGCTTACAAACAGCTCAAAACTGAGGCTTTCAGAAGGATTTTAAGAGCGTTGATGTAGGAATTGAAGATATATGTGTTCATACATGAAGGTTCTTTTAGAAGAAAAACATACTAATTCTCCTTTTATTTCATACGAGATGTTTACAAGATAAATGGCAGAGTAAAATCAATAAATTAAGAAAGTCACAAAATTCTCTAGCTAGAATATAGGAACTCCCAAAGAATAGAAAATTCGAAAATAAAAATACTAAAAATAGAAAAATTCTAATTTCTTTCCTAAAAATCCGATACCCACCCTCAAGTTGAAGCATAGATATTTATTATGCCCAACATGCTTACAAACAGCTCGAAGTCAGACCTAAAAATTCCTTTGGAGAAGATATGTGTTATTTGTTGTGTACTAGGCATAAAGGGCATGCAAATAGCTCCATAATCAATATTTTCTTTTATGTAGTGCCTATCAATCTCCACGTTTTTTGTGAAATCAAGTTGTACTAAATTTTATGCAATGCTTATGGTGGCTTTATTGTCATAGTACAACTTTTTTGGCATGTTTATCAGGATCTGCAACTCTTCAAGAATTATCTTCAATCATAACATCTCACATATTCCATTAGCTATAGCCCTATATTTTGTCTCGGCACTGCTCCTTACAACCAAATTCTATTTCATACTTCCCCATGTAACTAAATTTCCCCAGACACAAGTATAATATCCGGACATTGATCTTCTATCAAAAATTGAGCTCGCTCCATTGTGTGGTCGTCTAAGAAAATAAGTCATTTCCTAGTATACTTTTACATGTCTGAGAATCCTATTAATTGTTGCAAGGTGAAGCTCAAAAAGCGAATGAATAAATTGGTTTACCAAACTCGTAGCAAAAGCATTGTCTAGTCTTGTATGTGATAAGTATATCAACTTTTCCACCAAATTTTTATAATTAATTATATTCACCGAATCACCTCCCTTTCCATCTCCGAGTTTCAAATTGTGATTAATTAGAGTATCAACAAGCCTATAATCACATCTCAGTTTCTTTGAAAAGATCAAAAACAAACTACTATTAGAAAACAACAATCTCTTTTTTCGATTGAGCAGCCTCCATGACAAGGAAATATCTCAAAGATCCAAAATTCTAGGCCTTAAAAATTGATAAGAGGAAAACATTCAAACAATTTATCTCATATATATCATCCCCAATGAAAATTATATCATCCACATACACAATTAGCACGATTATCTTCCCATCTTTGAATATCTAACATGTATTGCATGATCTCCTTCCTCTTAAGCATACCCTTAAATTTTAATCGAGTAAATTTCTCATACCAAGCTCTCAGTGACTACTTCTGCTTGTATGAAAACACTATAGGAAAAACTGTTAAAACCGATGGAAAAAACGACGATTCTTCTTGCGTTGAAAATTTTGAACTCATTTCTGATGGCTTTTCGACGACCAAAAAAACCTATGGTTTCCCTTTGGAGTAATTTGTAGGTTTATATCAAGTCACTTTTCCAACAGTTCGTAAGTATTAACTGAAGGTTTAACTCGTCGTAGCATAGCATATTGGAAAACCGATGGACTCAAGTCTTCGGAAAATTGGTGCATCGGTTCTCCTAGATTACTAACCAATGGCCATGTAAAATTAAGCAACAGTTATATTCGTCGGTTATTAAGTTATTTACAACCGACGGTCCCGTGCTGTTGGAAATCCCTAAGAAAAGATTTATAAACCGAAAATATTGAACAGACGCCGAAATTCCTCATTTTCTCTTCTCCCGCACACACTCGAGCTTCGACCCTCAATGACCCCTTTGGTCGGCTTTTTTTTGCTAGAGTCGACTATTTCTAATTTTTTTTACAATCAAATCAAAGATAATCTCGATTCCAATCTTTATCTATGTTTTTTATTTAATTTGAACCAGTACTTTATTTACATTTTGAGTTTTTTTGTTTTAGAGAAATTCAAATTTTTTATTAGTTTTTATGTTTTTCATAATGTATCTGAGTGTTACATTTTTAGAGCTCATTTCAAAGATTTCTGCATACCTAACAACTAAATCTGCATATCTAGCAAACAAATCTTATTTTTAAGGGGGCATTCACATACATAAGACCAAAACATTACAAGTTACAAATCTAGCACTCTTTCATCGAATATTGACATTTAGTTCCATTTAATAAATCATGGCATTTAATGTATCTTACTTGAAAACACCAATGGTGATACGATCTTTAGCTCAAATGAGGTTTGGTAGTTAAAAAAATGAACAACAATTTTTAAAATATCTCAAATATCAATATTCATGATAAAAACACTAACCTTATTTTTCATTTTTATCAAATTCTTAATGATTTTATTGTGGCATGTGAAAATACATCGATTCGGTAATTAAACAAAATCAACTATTTTGGGAATTATGTACGCACTTATCCTTGTGTGAAAATATGAAGGTTTTGGTTTGAGATATGTAAGTACAAAAAAATTATGTGCTACGCATGTGATTGCCCCTCTTAAATGCAAAATGACATACCCAACACACAATTATTATGTTTTTATGTAGCCTTGGTGGCTTTATATATTATAATAATTTAAATATATGTTATCTAATTCATTACACTGACAATCTCTAGAATTAGGATAAGAGCCCACCGCTGTCAAGTTACACACTGGCCTAGGTGGAAAATAAATTACAGGCGACCAAGGTAATTCACAAGATTATATACAGTTCAAATAATTATTGAAGTTTATTTAGCCTCTAAATTTCCTTGATCATTTTTTGTAGGAGACCTTCCAAAAGTTGAAGGAGAGCCAAACCCAACAACTAAGCAATATTAGATCCTAGGTTGTGATCCGTTTGACTACATGTTGTGGAGAGAGGTTACCAAAGGCAAGAAAAAAGGTCAGGTCCACGGATTGGGATCTCAATCACAGGCCTACGACACTCCTCACTCTACCAGCGCATTCAAGGCATCCACTTCTACCGCCCATAAAGATGAGGTTTGTGGGCAAGTTGTTGCATTCACCGCAAACATTGAGACCCGAATTGTTGCCAGGCTCGCCAATCAGAGGTCGGGGAAGGAGGCTAAAATAAAATCAAAATAAGATGTGTTCTAGCATCAGGCAGAGCAGAGAGGAAAGCAGTCGGCAACGGATAATTTTTAGGAAGATGATGAGAGCACTGAGGAGGATTAAAGAAATTTATTACTTTTATCTGTTTATTTGAATCATTTCATGCAACCATTTTATTTATCTGTACAAACATTTTTGCTTGGTTCAAAGCATTTGTTT